AGAGTACCGTCACCGACATGTCAAAACAATATTACAAGCCAACATCAATAACTTAAACAGGATAGCGTCAAAATACAATGAAAGTAAATATTGAATTTTTCTCGGATACAATCACCTTCTGAGAAATTTATTTTCTATATTGAGATTGTTGTTTCGGACTTCAAGAGCCCAAAACACCAATCTGGATATAGAAAATAATATCATCCTTTTGTGCTTCCCTTAATGCTAGAAGGGAAATTCAGAAACTCGAACTTCTCTTCTAACATCAAGGGAATAACAAAACAATGACATTCAGAATGGTATATGTTATACCACCGCGCTTAGAGCTTTGCCGTATATCCAAGATGCTTAAGATACCACAGTGCTCCTGCGGCTGCATGCTCTTGTGCAGCCTTTTTCTGCGACTTGGGTTCGTTATAGCACTCCAAGAGTGTAGAATTTACTCCATCAATTTCAATAGTAACCTTATAAGTAAACCTACACATAAACCGGACTTATATTATCAGCCGTTGATTCCTCTGGAATGACTGTCACATAATAACATGGGCATAAAAAACAAGGAAGAATCAAAAGCTTACATTTTTAGATGGCATGGTCCTTCATCTTTACAACACTCAAACAAAGGAGGCTTCCAATAGTTCCCAGCACATATTTCAAACACTTGTGACCTTGCTGATTTATTACTCTGACCACCTACAAGGAGGAAAGCAAAATAAATCAAATTATCACACTAAGAATCTGTTTAGATGTTTCACAAGATTAACATGACATAAGCTTCTTTCATGGTTTCCACATAATTATACCATTCATCTCATGTTGATGACTGTTCTCCATCAGTCCATTCGGCCTCTTCGGCTGCCAGCTTACTTGTTCATACTTCTCTTGCTTTGTTCTTTGTGGTGACCTTGATGCAACAGAGAGCAGCTTTTGAAAGTCATTGTTAACATCTATTGTGGGGAGACTCCATTGAGATGAAGTCTCTTCTGCTTCATGGACTGTTAACTTCTCTAGTGGAATCGAGATTGAGTTACAGTCGAAGCTCTCTACTATAGGATCTTCATCAGGAATCGAGATTGAGTTACAGTCGAAGTTCTCTACTACTATAGGATCTTCATCAAATCCAATCAGCAAGGGTAGCTTCTTCCGAGTTGAGCTTAAAATTTCTTCTAGCGACTTACTTTTATGCTTGAAACCAAGAGCCTGTAGTCATAATTAAAAAAATAAAAAATAAAAAATAAAAAGAAAATAAGTGTGCTTCAATATGCATATCTAAGTATAGGCTACTTAAGAAAATAGGCAGAGTAAGCATCAGCAGACATCCTGCATCCCATGGTTATTTAAAAGCTATGAGCTCAGTCTTGGATGGTTTGGTACTCTGCACAACACAACATGTCTTCCTCCCTCTAATACATATGCAACAGATGTGTACCTAGGTAGAAAATCATTGTCTTCATCGAAGCAGGCATTAAACAAATGAAGCAAATTAAATAACATTGTGATAATAGATATATTTGATGCTTTAACACATATTCACTTGTATATTTGTGATCGTGAGCCGTGATAATACTCATGAAGGAGTACCAATGAATTCCAATTTAGTGAAGGCATGATGTACTCATGAGTTCCAATACTGATAATACTAAAGGCATGAAGTTTCAATTTACGTGTTCGGTATTGCCATATTGGAGTAGTTAAACAAGAGCACTCACAAAGGATGCAATTATGGACAGCCCGATCTCTAGTAACAGTAGAGAAAGCAATACATAGAGTATAATCATGTGATCTGGTCAAAAGAAAGCGAAGAAGGTACCCTGACGTCGTTCGTTATACAATTTTACAAGCGCATCATGCCATATTGCATAGTTGATTCTAGGTGTCTTATGCCAAAAGGTGGAATTCTATCCAGAAGATTATCATGTCAAAAAGTGTAAACTGACATTTCTAAACATAAAGCCAATTACTTGAAGATGTAAAAGTACTTCTTATGACGCCTTTTCATAATACTAGTTAATGAAAATTCAGATTCTCAGAGATTGTGAAGCAAGGATTTGAAGGAAATAAGACCTGATATATAACATACTAAAAGTCAAAAGGTATAACAATGATTTTACCTTAAGCTTACAAAGTGCTTCTTGTGCAGCGGTTCTTCTGGCAGCTTTTGAGTTGTTGTTGACAGCACTGTAAGTCAAATGCTTCCCTTTGACATCAATTTCTACCCAGACTGAATAGCCTTCCTTTTGTTTCACAGGATCCGGTAATCCCAGCTCAAAACTATAAGACTGACAGAGTTCACGGAGTTCTCTTACAGGGTTGATCTGCAAGCTAGAAAACCTTAAAATAGGTTCCAACAGATTGAGCATAATGTTCCAAACTAAGTTTAAGTCAAATCCTGCATCCAGAAGTACAGCACCAATTGATGATTCAACAACATCACCAAGCACCTGCATCATTACAGACCTATGAGATAATCTTTTTCTTCAAACAGAATGGTGAAAAGAATCAAGCCTTGAAAACAAATAATGACTTATAATTGAGGAAATGACATCCACAAAAACCTAGAAGAAACATCCAAACATGTGTGCCACATGGACATTAGATAGAGCATTTGATCCCATAATCGTGTTGTTTCACTGGAGGAATTAGCTAACAGTTTGAAACTTTGAATATTGCAAAACGAAGTAAAATATACCGAGTTCAGTAGGAACACATCACACCTAAATCAATGCATGGTCTGAATGGAAGATTTAAGGCATCCACTGAAATATACAAGTATTGATCTCACTAAAATATCCCGATGTCAATTTCATTCAGAAAAATAATGCTGAGTGCAATCTTTGTATGCCTGATCACAGGAGTAGGATCTTGTTATACTTGAGTGACATAAATATAAAGGACTAGAAAACTAGTGACACTTAACTGGAAACATTAGAGACTGTAAAACTAGTGACACTTAACTGGAAACATTAGAGACTAGAAAACTAGTGACACTTTAACTGGAAACATCAGAGCCTGTAAAACTAGATTGGCGGGGAAAGCTTTAGTCCCAGGCAAATGTTAAACATTAAAAAATGAAAAAAGAATAAGCAGCGCTGGGAGTCCGTTCTAAATCTCACTGCCCTCCATCCATCTCTTCTAGAAATTATTTTATATCCATGTTGGATGCAATGAACCTATGCTGACCCATATATACGTGCATATGTGCAACCTAGTTGGTATATATCAGGAAAGGAAAATAAGTCATAAATTGACTCCATATTTTTCCTTCATGAGAGAGGAATATAGGTCTGGATATTGTAGCATAACAACATCAACAGGAGTATGAAGTGTTTTGATCTCATCAAATATGACCTACTTCCTATGCATGAAATAAAAATTTAGATAAAATAATTGCATGAACTGTGACTTGTACACATGGAAACAAGTATAGGACTCTGATATAGACATGATAACCCTTGAGCACATAGACAAGAGAACACAACTATACAAAAGCGTTCTTTCAAGTACCTGCAATTTTACTCACTTAATGGTGTGTATTGGCCCTATTGCGTTGTTATCACATGTGAAATAAGCCAAAATGCCAGAAGAATCTACAGAGCAATTAGTTGCAATCAAACTGGTAGCTCATCAATTTACATATTTTTTAAGTGAACAAAGGCGTGTTCCATAAAAAAAAAAGTTAATAAATGTTTGCAATATTCATAAGAACAGGACTAGAATGGACAACTTTGTCGTGCCTGGAAATGTAGATGTTGAAATATTATTAAGTTTAGGGGCTTATGTGTAAGTTGTAGGAGCCTATATAAGCCCATGTTATCTCATGAATAAGATAAGGGTTTTCAATAATCAACATGGTATCAGAGCCTCCACAGAAACCCTAACCCTAGCCGCCCCCCCTCTCTTCTTCCCCTGGTCAGCCTCCTCTCTTCCTTGAATTCTGTCGATCAGACCCCCCCCCCTTCCGCCTCCTGCAGACCTCGAACCCCCCTTCCACCGTGACGTCGACCAGAACCCCCGACCCTCCTCCTCCTGTCCGATCATCGCAGAGCATCGCCAACGCCTTCCCCTGCGACAGTGACCAGAACTCCCGACCCCCTACTCTGTCCGAGACCACCACGAAACCTCACCTGAGCCTGCACCTGACCGACCTGATCTCCCCACCTGACCGACCCGAACAACCCCTGATCTCCCCACCTGACCGAGACCAACCCGAACCCCCTTTGACCCCCCCTGACCCCGACCTCAGCCTTCCCCCCATCTAGCCGCTGCCACCTCGAGCCCCTTGCTGCGCTATGTCGGACCTAGAGTTTGACATGGGTTCCCTTGACTCAGTCCTCGAACTGATGACAGGAAGAGTATATACCTCACATCGATGAGATATATAACTGTTTTTGGTTCTTGTTTCCTCTTGAAGCCTGTTCGATGGAGGAGATCATCAAGAAGTTGAACCCTGCGGAGGTGTCAACTTTGATGAAGTTGATGAAGTTGTCGGCTGGTGAGAGTGCGACAAAACCATCAAAGAAGTTGGAGCTTCCGACCATCGATCTGAAGCTTGATGGACCGAGTACGTACCTGAGCTGGTCGCGGCGGGTGAGATACACCCTTGCAGAAAGGAACCTGGAGGGTTACTTGACAGGAGAGGCGACAGAACCGGAAGAGGACTCGGAGGGAAGAGAAGAGTGGAAGTCCACTCACATGTTGGTGTACATCTGGCTTTTCAACTCGTTGGTCCTGACGATCGCCGCCACGGTGGATGGCATTGAGAAGGTGAAGGACGTCTGGGAGAAGTTGAGGAGGACATATGATGGAGTGGGGAATAACCTGAGGGTATTCCAGATTAAAGGAGAGATCGACGCCACAGTCCAGGGAGAGAGGACTGTACAGGAATATGCTACAGAGCTGGAGCGCCTGTGGCTGGATTATGACCACTTTTCTCCTCGGGCTAGCTGCAAGGACAAGATTCCCACGCTTGAGGAGACTGTCTCTGCTATGATCTAGGAGGAGACTCGCATTCGGCTGCAGGCGGGGACAGGTGGACTTCCTGTGGTGAAGTCAGCACTGGCAGCCTCTAGCAACACTGAATCTAGGGGAGAGACCCGACAGTGTTACAACTACGGTGCGGTGGGTCATCTAAGGCATGCTTGCACCAAGCCATCCAAGAAAGGAGATTCGGGTGGACGTGGACAGTTCGGAGGTCGTGGTCGTGACCGTGGGGGTAGACGAGGTGGAAGAGGAGCAGGAAATCGGGCGAATCTGACGGTAGCAGAAGAAGAAGCTGGAGTGGTCTTTACAGAGGAGGATCGTGCTCTCCTCACGATACTCAGGAAAAAACAGCAAATAGCAGGGGATGGAGATTTGAGGAGTGGGACTGCGGAGGCATCCACTTCGTTCTTCGCCAGAGGCAACACTGCTACCTATGCTCATCCGACCAAAGGTACTGATGACATACATGCTCTTGCTTCTATGTCTCCCAATAGACCCATGTGACAGGTAATGCTAGTGAGTTCTCATCATATACTCACTTAGCATCGCCTGATAGTATTCAAACAGCTGATGGTACATTTCAGCCGGTGGTTGGTAAGGGTACAGTCGATTGTACTGGTTCTGTAACTTTATCCAATGTTTTGCATGCTCCTTCCTTTCCAGTCAATTCTATCATCCTCCAACTAAAATGTATTGTTTCTTTTGATATTCCCAAGGTGATTTTCCAGGAGAAAGGGACAGGACGGAGACTTGAGACTGGCACATGGCGTAATGGACTGTGGTATCTGGATCGTGAAGGGCTAGATTCAGCTTTGGTGTCCATGGTAGAGAGAGCAGGAGTAGGATCTGAGATGAGTGCTGAGAGTGTGTTGATGCTTCATCACAAACGCTTGGGACATACTTCTTTCGGTGTTTTAAGTAGGTTGTATCCATCTTTATTTGAGAAAGTAAATAAAGAGAAACTTGTGTGTGATGCATGTAAGTTGGGAAAGCTTACTAGAAGCTCTTATGTTAGTTCTGATCATAGGAGTTCTCATGCATTTGATATGATACATTCAGATGTGTGGGGACCATGTTCCACAAGTTCTATGAATGGATACAAGTATTTTGTTATCTTCATTGATTGCTTCTCTCGCGTTACTTGGTTATACCTGATGAAGAATAAGAGTGAAGTGTTTGGGTGTTTTCAAAACTTTCATAGGAATGTTCAGACTCAATATGGAGCAGTGGTGAAGGTATTGAGATCTGATAATAGGACAGAGTACACCAACAGATTGTTTGGAGAATACTTGTCATCTCAGGGAATACAACACCAGACTACGTGTCCATACACACCAGCTCAGAATGGGGTAGCAGAAAGGAAGAACAAACATCTTTTAGAGGTTGCTAGAAGTATGATGATCTCCATGAATGTCCCAGAAACATTGTGGGGGCAAGCGGTGTTGACTGCAGCGGCGCTGATCAACAGAATGCCCTCGAGAGTACTGGATTGGAAGTCTCCGTGTGAGACGTTGAAAGGAGACAATGGTGGGATTCTTCCACTGAAAGTTTTTGGTTGTGTGCTTTGTGAAGGATAACAGACCATCAGTCAGGAAGCTTGCCCCTAGAGCGGTGAAGTACATTTTTGTGGGATATTCTGCTACTCAAAAGGGATATGTTTGCTGGAGCCCGGTAGAGAAAAGGCTGTTCGTAAGTATGGATGTGTACTTTCGTGAATTTGAGCCATATTACACACAGAAGGTACCCTCATCCGGTGGTGACTAGCCCAATACTGGAAGTATGAGGCGAGAAGGGGAGAATGGTGAGAGGCAGAATAATATGGAGAAATCGATTTCTCTAACGATTCCTTGGGAAGGAGAATTGGGTGAAGGTGTTAGGCCCACGGTTCAGGGGGAGCTATTAACCTATAGTAGGAAGGGAAAGCAAATTGCAGGAACAGTACCTACATTGCCACTAGTGCTGCCAAGTCTCTTGCCAATGCCTGCCCCGACTCCTGAGACACCTACACCACCACCAGTTTTATCCCAAGGTGATAACGTTCCTCTCCCTACTGATAACATTCCTCTCCCTACTCCTCCCACACCAATATCAGTACGGAGGACTACTCGCAGTAATGCGGGACATCCTCCCGATAGATATGGTTGGGATCTTGCCCAGTTTGTATCATATTCTAATATCCACCCTACACATGGAGCATTCATTGCATCATTGGACTCTGTTACTGTACCTAACAATTGGCAGGTTGCTAAGAAGGACCCAAAGTGGAAAGCGGCTATGCACGAGGAGCTAGGGGCTCTTGAGAAGAATCACACTTGGGAGCTAGTAAAACTACCAGAAGGAAAGAGAGCAGTTGGATGTAAGTGGGTCTTCACTGTGAAGCAGAATCCAGATGGGCAAGTTGAATGCTACAAGGCTCGTCTGGTGGCAAAAGGGTATAGTCAGACATATGGCATCGATTATGATGAGACTTTTACACCGGTGGCAAAGATGAGTACTGTTCGGACCTTAATCTCTCTGGCAGTAAATGGTGGATGGAAGCTACACCAACTAGATGTGAAGAACGTATTTCTTCATGGAGATCTAGTGGAGGAGGTATACATGGAGATACCACCAGGATTCGGTACAGATCAGACGGTGGGAAAGGTCTGCAGATTAAAGAAGTCTCTCTATGGGCTGAAGCAGTCTCCTCGTGCTTGGTTTGACAGATTCAGAAGGGCTATGATTGGTATGGGGTACCAACAGATCAACGCCGACCATACCGTGTTCTTTCGACGGAGTGGAGGCCACATTACCATGCTTGCGGTATATGTGGATGATATGGTTATTACAGGGGATGATGAGAAGGCGATTGTCCAACTAAAAATGAGACTGGGTAAGGAATTCGAGGTGAAAGATTTTGGCTTGCTTCGATACTTTCTTGGAATAGAGATAGCTCGAGGAGCGGAGGGAATCGTCCTATCCCAGAGAAAGTATGCACTGGATCTTCTCAAAGAGACAGGGATGTTAGGGTGCAAACCTGCAACTACACCGATCGACCAGAAGTTTAAGCTGGGTAGAACCAGTTGATCGTGACAGATACCAGAGACTGGTGGGCAGGTTGATCTATTTGAGTCACACATGTCCCGTTATCTCTTTTGCAGTGAGCGTGGTGAGTCGCTACATGCACGATCCGAGGAAGGGTCATATGGACGCTGTGTACCAGATTCTGAGATATCTGAAGAGTGCCCCTGGAAAGGGACTGATATTCAGGAAAAATGGACATGTGAGCATCGAGGGTTATTGCGACTCTGATTGGGCTAGCTGTGCTGATGACAGGAGATCCACCTCAGGATATTGTATCTTTGTAGGAGGTAACTTGGTCTCGTGGAAGAGCAAGAAGCAATCGGTGGTAGCGAGATCAACAGCTGAAGCAGAGTATAGAGCCATGGCCTTAGGAGTTACAGAGTTGTTGTGGTTAAAGAGTATGTTGGTGGAGCTGAAGCTGGATCAAGGAGCCAAGATGAAGTTGTGGTGTGATAACAAGTCAGCCATCAATATCGCCAACAACCCAGTGCAGCATGATAGAACCAAACACATCGAGATCGATAGGTTCTTCATCAAAGAGAAGTTGGACAATGGACTACTGGAGTTAAGTCATGTTCCAACTAAGGATCAGGCAGCAGATTGTCTGACTAAAGGACTTAGCTCAGTAGATATGATTAGAGGATGTGACAAGATGGGCTTAGTGGATATCTTTCGCCCATCTTGAGGAGGAGTGTTGAAATATTATTAAGTTTAGGGGCTTATGTGTAAGTTGTAGGGGCCTATATAAGCCCATGTTATCTCATGAATAAGATAAGGGTTTTCAATAATCAACAGTAGACGCATCAATTTTGGTTGGAGGAAGAGCGCTACACATCATAGATGTTCATTGCATCTACACTTGCAAGTGCATAATTATGTGATAGTCGATATATAAAAACTGTTCTCACTAGTTCCTACTTTTTTATATTATGTTAATGCAAATTGTTTGATATCCAACTACTTCAAAGCTGTGTACCTCAACCCATTATGTCACATTTTTTCACAGCACCAAAGATATGGAGGCCCCAACTCGAGCTTTTTTTTTTTAAGGTTCACATATTTTTTTGTTATAAGATTATTTTCACTTCCGTAACAAAGGTATTCCTTGGGACGTTTGTCTTTATAGTCCTCTGGGTCTTTCATATTTTGACATATGGATTAGAACCTTGTAATTTTGTAATTTATGGATGTAATTGTTAAACGCTTTTGAGATTTTATCCTTTCGTAGAATAGATGGCATTTGATATCTAACCAAGTACTTCGAAAATTATTTGGAAATTTACTTCACAGAGTCCGCTTCCTATTTATGAGTAAGCAAGCAGAAGGTACCAGTGTATCTTCACTGCTGACCCTATACTATTGCTTTATTTTTTCTGCAACATACTTATCATTGCTTTAGTTATTATTCACTTTCTTGGTGTTTGACAGAAATGATCATCAGAATGTCAAATTTCTGCCTTCAACTACCTTAAAATACAGACTGGACCCAAGCTAGGAATTCACTGTTCAGTTTCATATACTCATTAAATCTCTTAAACTCCTTTCCACAGCATCAAAACTCTGACGTGGTGGCAAGGGTTGACTGGTTATAGCTTTATACTTCAACATGGCTCCGCAGGTTGAAAGCCCATTTATGGGCCTAAACTTGACCCATTTTACACATAGGCACCTTTCTTTGCATCCACTTTAAGGGGTGTACTGCGTGAGTTGAACTTGAGTCGCTGTGATACCATCTTAAATTCCCTTCCACTATACCAAAACTTAAAAAATTGTGAGGAGGTTCGAGGGTTATAACTTATAATTGAACAAAATATGAATTACAAAAAATATAGCTTTATTCGGAAAAAAAAACAAAATTTCAGGGGGAAAAGTTACCTTTGGGCATGCTGGTTCCTCAGTTAGTTCTCTTTCTGCATCTGATGTTTGAATAAAATCCTTGAACTTTTTTATTGCTCGACTGAGACTATCAGATTCTTTTATAAGATACTCATGAAAGAATTTCCAAACTGCTATATGAGCTAAAGAATTGTTGTTGACAGTTATTGATCGCAAATCAGTTATTTGCCCTGGTTTTAGGTCTGGATAAACTGAATAGATGTACGATGTTATCATATAATCCAAGACGGCATCTCCAAGAAACTCCAGTTTCTGGTTGAAAAATCAAGACATCAGCAAGAAAAAGAAGAGTGTAATGCCATTAGCATAGATTGCACGAAACTTCATTGAGTACATATCTTAGTATAAATACAGACCTGATAGCATCCACCTGAGTGCTTATTGTAAGAAGGATGAACAAAAGCCTGTAGAAGAAGACCTCTATGCTTAAATCTATATCCTAATAGCTTCTCAAGTGCATCAACATCTATGCTTTTACTGAGTTCCAAGTTGCTCCTGCTTTCTTGAAGAACTCTGTAAAAATCGCAGACTTCAAAATCAACTTGCATTCCAATCCATTGGAGAAATGCAATTGCAGCTCTGAACCCACTCTCAACTAGAAATACTCCAACAAGAGCTTCCACAACATCAGCAATAGTTTTCCTGTGAATCCACCGATGTGATCTAGTACATTTCACGTTACTGGCTTCTTTTGCGTTTACTGTGGAACCATTTCCTTGTTGATGATGTATACTTGATTGTATATCTACATCACAAACTACTTTACATGGCCGGCCGAGTGCAAAGAAATTTGATGGGAGAAATAATTCATCACGTATATACACCTGAAATATTAGTTAGCAAAATTCTTTTAAACACAACAAGCGATCTTCATCAAACATCAAGTTATGCAAAATTGGACAAAGTCGTACCTCTATGAAAGGCAAACCAAAATACGAAACACGTGTACGGAGAACTAATCTATGACTAGGAACATGCATCTAAAAAATGAGGAGTTGAGCAAGAAATCAATAAGCAAACAGAACATAATGCAAAACAATAGAAAAACTCACTTTAATATCATGAAATAATGGAGCAAGCTCCAAAGTTGAAATTCTCCTAGAAAAGGTCTACATGATGGGAAGATAGAGATACACCAAAGGAATTCCATAAATCTCTAAAGCATAATATATGCCAAAAGCCAAATGCCTGCCCACTGGGGAAACTAGGATTTACAGAAAATAGGTAGTTTCATGCTCCATGTCTATGGTGGCTTCATGTGAGTCCAGTTAGCTGCTGAACAGACAGTACAAGCATTCTCACTCTCAAATTGTAATATCCTAACAAAGCCTAGACCAGCGTGTCTTTTCCTATAAGATGCAGCAAGCACTAATATAATGATAAGAAAGAACAATAATCCATGATATGCAATAATCTTAGCATCTGTCTATAGCCAATGGATCAGTATGTCTGCACAAGGGTTCTCTCTACCAATTGCACAAGAATGAGATAACAGATAAACTTAGAAGCTGTACAAAACCGGTTAATGAGTTACCATAAACATCTAAGGGTAAAATACTCTTGAGAAACCAAACTTTGGTACAATATTAGTATGAGCAAAACCAGTTCAATATTTAGACAGCCGCAACATTCTTGGGTTTCAGGAGAGAAAAAGAAGTCCATACTCTTGCAAATAGATCACTGATCTATGCTCTCGTAAATAGATCACTGATCTAAAATACATAGGACAAACGAGAATTGGCAGTTATGGTAAGACATCTTCAAACACTCGGTTCATGGCTTCAAAAGAGCATTCCAAGAAGAAATGATATCATACTAAAATACAGGAGCAAAAAAGCGTAATAAAGCAAAAAAGAAGAAGTCAAGTTACCTGCAAATTCTTCTGAATAGCTAACTCATATAAATGTGAATTATTCACCATACTAGAACGCTTTTTGGTGAGTTGTCCCTCGTCTAGGCCTTGATATGAAAGGAAACTGTGACGGCCAACTATATACTTCAGAAATGAATCACCCAGCACTTCAAACCTTTCGAGGGAAATTCGTTCCATACATTTCTCAGCTGTTAATGCTTCTAGGATCTGAAATACATGTTTCCTCTAGTTAGAACAAGTATTTCAACTTGTAGTAAAGTAAAATAGTTCAATGCACTCCATAATACACTCAAGCTAGTAGCTATACTAAGCATTATATCAGTAGGCTTACACATTCAGCTCGGACTTTAGTGGCGTCAGGAAAAGATGCTGACAAAAGCTCCTTCAGCTCAATAGCCACGAGTAGATTTTCTAGCCGATGCAATAGAGAAGGCAATAAAGACAAAGTACTTCCAATATCTTTTGAAAAGCCAAATATTTTTAGCAAACACATTTCAGGAGGCAACTCCACAAAGTGCTCCAGTAGTTCACGAGTATCTGCTTTCCACAAACAACAATCTTTAAGGTTCAAGAATCAAACTACATACAACTGGAACTTGACTTGGCTCAGAGAGAAGCGTTCCAACGAGTTTTGGCTATATTTCTTTACCAAATCTTTACTCAGAAAAGAGCGAACTTATTGTTATATGGACGGTATTATCCTTCTAGAGGTTTTGGTGGGTTGAGCAGATAATCTTATGTAGAGAGCAAACTAAAACAGATCGGTAACAACAAGCAATAATTAGATGTATGAATTTCAGATTGCCAGGAGTTGACTTATATCACATAAACATAAATAACTGCTCTATACTAAAACTATAATCATCGATCCTCACCATAACTTTGAAGTTTTGGTGTAATTATAAGAGTGACTTAATTTAAAATGGCATCAGAGCAACCCATGTTCGAATCTTACTAGCCACGAATTTAATGCGAATTTTAAAAAATTGTTTCCGCTGCGTGAGTTCGGGTTTTCAACCCATAAAAAGGATGCTCAACCTGCGGGGGCATGTTAGAATTAATATAAAACTATAATCCTTAATCATCATCATAACTTTAGAGTTTTGGGTCTAATAGTTAGAGGGACCAAGTTTAAAATAATATATATATATATATATAGAGCGCAATTGAAAAGCAACATGTGTAAAAAATGAATATGGCAGAAATGAGAATGTTGTGATGGCCTTGTGGGTATATTAAAAGATAGGATAAGAAATGAGTGCATCCGTAATAAATTAGAGGTTGCTCCTATTGAGGACAAAATGAAAGAGAATATATTAAGATGGTTTGGTCATATACAACAGAAACCTCTTAGTGCACTGGTTAGAAAAAGTGATAACATTATAGTTAATGAGGCTAAGAGATCTAGAGGTAGACTCAAAAGGACTTGGTTGAAAGCAATTAGGAAAGATATAATTATGACTAACTTATCGGAGGAAATGACTCATAATAGAATGGAATGAAAGAATATAATTTATACAGCCGACCCCAAACATTTGAGATAAATGTTTTGTTATTGTTGTTGTTGTTGTGTGTGTGTGTACAATGAATTGGTACATATATATTTTATACATTCAGACTTGCAGGTTAAGATAAATCACCTTTTGGTAGCAACCAGATCTCCTTATCTAGTAACATGAATTTTTAAACTGCTATCTAATAGAGAGAGTATTAAAATCTTCAAGGTCTTTTCTGTAGAAATGGCGAACACAGCGACGAAGACCGCATGAAAAAACGAAGAACATGTTTTGGGTGTCTGGTGGTCGACCGCGAGTGGCACGGTGGTCGACCGCAAACATGCACGAAATAGGAAAAAGTCTCTGGACTTTTCGTGGTTAATCGTGTCGACTGGCTTGGCGGTCGACCGCGAGACCCTATAGGATTATTTTGGGTTCTGTCATTTTCCGCGGTCGACCGCGAGACCCTATAGGATTATTTTGGGTTCTGTCATTTTTCGCGGTCGACCGCGAGACCCTATAGGATTATTTTGGGTTCTCATTTTTCGCGGTCGACCGCGATGGGTTCGGCGGTCGACCGCGACTCAGGTTTGGGCCTGGGTTTTGTTTTCTGACCCGTTTCGTTTTGAGTTGATATATATTCCTAATCCTAATTAATTAGGGTTAAACAATGACGTTTTGAGCAGTCTTTGAGAGAGCATTATTGCATCCAATTGTGGGAGACTGGTGAGAGATGTAGAAAGCTTTGTTTTAGAGTTTTAAGTGATTTTATAACCTTGTTTTGTATTCTCTTCATCTCTAATAGTAAGAACTCTCTCCTCCTTGCCCTGTGGACGTAGACAACTTGTCGAACCACGTAAAATTTATTGTCTTGCTGTGATTGTGATTTATGCTTGTGTTTAGTTGTGATCTACCTTGTTCTTGCTTGTGTGATTAGAGTTTCGTTGCGCACAACACTTTCACATAAGATTAAATTTTTTCAACTCAGCTATTGTGCGTTTGTATAACGTTGTGCTTAAAACATTATTTGGTCTACTCTGGTGCAAGGATCTCAATGCCAAATTGCTTTCAGGAACAGCAGTCCAGTACTCTAGTGTGCACCGACCCAGTACTGTCAAGATCTCCTCGATCTATTAGGCAAAGATCTCCTCGATCTATCAGGCAAAGATCTCATCGATCTATCAGGCAAAAGATCTCCTCGATCTATCAGACCTTTCAATCAAGGCAAAATTCCTATAAGCACCAGCTATTTTACAATTTATATCTGTATATATTGATTGTTTTTTTTGAAATGAATTTTTCTTAAAGATTTGGGATCTATTTATAGCGTTTGAGAAAATACTATGCACTACTAAAATAATATATTTTACTATGCATGTGGGGCTCACGTCCTAAATTTTCTTCGATGGGACCCACCACTTTTTCCCATTTTCAAAATTTGCGACTTCTTTGTCAAAGAAGTGAGGCTTTAAAAAAATGAGGGTGACTTTGTTACGTAAAAACATGGGCTGCTAAGTGTTTAAAGAAAATGGGGCCCACACATTTTAAAAATTTCTAACAATCCCCCACAAAATTTTTTCTTAACAAAGACGCCCTCATTTTTTAAAGCCTCGCTTCTTTGACAAAAAAGTCACAAATTTTAAAAATGGGAAAAAGTGGTGGGCCCCACCGAAAAAATTTAGGATGTGAGCCCCACATGCATAGTAAAATATATTATTTTATTAGTGCATAGTATTTTCTCAAACGTTATAAATAGACCCTAAATCCTTAAGGAAAATTCATTCCAAAAACAACAATCAATATATACAGATATAGATTGTAAAATAACTTGTGCTTATAGGAATTCTGTCTTGACCGAAAGGTCTGATAGATCGAGATCTTTTGCCTGATAGATCGATGAGATCTTTGCCTGATAGACAGAGAAGATCTTTTTCCTAATAGATCGAGGAGATCTTGATAGTACTGGGTCGGTGCATACTAGAGTACTGGACTGCTATTCCTGGAAGCAATTTAACATTGGGATCCTTGCACCGGAATAGGTCAAATAATGCTTTAAGCACAACGTTTTACAAACGTACAACAACTGAGCTGAAAAAATTTAAATTACTGCATTTCAGTTTTCTGTTCAATTTTTGCTTTTATATATCTGTATTATTTCAGATTTAACCATAGACGCTAACAATCTTAAAGTACTAATATTAATTTTAGAGAAAGTCAAAACAAGTAATAATTCATCAACAGAAATGAAAATACTAATAGCTGGTTGTAAAAGTTATATATTATACGCCCTCCCAAAGTATATCATAATTGTGCTAATTATTATATAAGTAGTTACCCCTCCCAAAGTATTAGTAGCAAATATCATCCTAATAGTTTCTTTTCAACATCTTCCTTCGCAAAGTTCATTTTGTTAGCAGTTTGACATACAATTTAAAAGTGATCATGTAATGATCATACAATGATTTGTACATCTAAAATGCCTTTTTTAACAAATATTTTGCAGTTTTAAAAGAAAAGGATATGAGTAAAAATACTTTAAAATCAAAATATATTTATCAAATATGATATCTCCTTCTTAATCCAAATCAAAGTCTAATGATACTCCTATCCTCATCCTTACATTGTTCTAAATTTAGCACAGAGATAAAATTAAGGTTAAATTTCACTCCCCCCACCCCCCACCCCCGAACTGTAGGGGTGTTGCACATAACCCCCCTCAACTTTGTTTATTCCACTTGACCACCCTGAATGTTGGAGTGCCCCACTTAAGCCCCTTGAAATTTGACATTTTTTCAATAGACACCCCCAAGACGTCACTGATTAATGGTGAAATGACAAAAATAAAAAATAACCCTAATCTCAACTCCACTTTCAAAAGAACCCCTAATAGAATAAACAAGGGGTTTTTTGCTTATTAACCAATGCTTTCAAAATTAATCCAAACACAACCACCACCTCTGCCTCCTTTCAAGCCACCACTTCGTCCTCCCCTCTTATTCCTCTTCTCCAGCCATGGCGACGCAAACCCATCGTCATCATCATCATTAAATAATAAAGAAGAAGCCAACCCATTTTCCTCCATTGACTTCTCTTGAGATCCATCTCCAACAAAAACCAGTTCATTCTCTAATCATCTCCATATCTTTAGACATCAATTTCTCCGAAGATCAGAGTTGCCAGCATCGATGGAAGAGAGATGGTTCAATTGAGCGTGTTTGGGTATGAATTAAGGATTCAATAAGCAAGCATGGAAATTTTAACCCAAAAATGAAAAGAGACAATGCAGTAATTTATAATAAGTTTAGGGGTATTTTTCATCCGTATAAAGTTCACATTGACTTAAATTTCACGGTGTTAATCTGGGTTGGTTGGGTTGGTTGAGTGAGACATGTTCAAGAGAGTTAAGTAGAATAAACAAAGTTGAGGGGGTTATGTCCAATCAAGGAGGGATCAAGAAAATTTTTCCTCCGGAAGCACATATACGATTATACATATAAATTAATAACTTATATGATATAAATTTTAACGATGAAAATTTGATTTATAAAATAATCACAACATCTATCAATACATGCAATTTCATCATAACAACTAACAACATGCTACGAAATTCTAACAAAAGATCTTTATAATTGTTTTCCATGTGGTCCCATTTTTTGATACATTTATATGATTTTCTTATTTACTATACTATCAACTATGTCTTTCTCAATATATATAATTAGACAATCACTCAATCATTACGAAGCAACATTGTTAGAATTTCGTAGTATTTTGTTTTCATGGGGGGGGAACAACTTTTGCAATTTGTAGGGGAATCAGAAGGGAATTTTGATTTAGAAACGAAGTGTTAAAGAGGGTGAAAACGATATCTTTTAATTCTCAAGTTAATTTAGGCTAAAATTAATGTTTTTAGATGGATATATGAGTTCTTGAGCTAAAATGAATAACTCTAGGCAATTTTTGGATGGATTTGAAAACATGAATGTAGACTATGGCTAGCTGGGTTGGGAGCTGTGGGGTTGCTAAGCAAAATCCTATGGGGCCACATAATAAAAATATGGTTAATTATTTTAAAAACAATGTTCAAATGTGTGGGGGCACGTGCCTCCACAAACTTCGTAGTAGTTCCGTCCTCGGGTGCAACTCACACATAGTTCAGGGGTAAGTGAAATTTACACTATATTAACTCTGTGAATGTGCCCACTCTAAATCAACTTGAACTTTAATACTAGTAATTTAGTAAATAAAAAATATGATCACTCGCCTTTTAATTTTAATCGATTAATTTACACACATTACGATTTTAATTAAATGTTAAAACTTTTTTAGTCTAAAATTTTGAATTTATCTTCAAAATTTAGGATTTTGATCTTTTTTAGAACTATATTAGATTAAGAAATAATTAATGTATGTGTAAAGAATCATCTCACTTCTATCAATAACATTATTAGTTGTCATCAGACTTTAGGAGGCGCAAAGTGTTGCAAGAGTGACTATAGGGGCATACATGCAATCATGAAAAATGTTGGGCGGGTAAAGTCTTAAGTGTAATTTACTCTTATTATGTGTGACACCCCCACTTTAGTCCCATATGGACTAGTGTGAAGAAATGTTAGTGGTTTAAATAGAAAAAAGCCCAAGACTCAAGAATAACTAGTGCTAGCATTATGACAGTGAACTTTATCCAACATCAAGTTGCTCTCGATGGGTCCTATGGCTTACACGGGCCAACGGGCCAGTGGACCCGGGCGCGACAAATGGTATCAGAGCAATTGCTAGTTAGAAGTGTGGAGCTAAGTGTTATACAGGGCTAAGTGCTACACCGCGTGGATGCGGTGGGAGCTACCTCTAGAGCTTATAGGAGCCACCTTTAGAGTCCAATCGCCTGGTAGATGTGTCAATTATCATGTCGTGACGACGAGGACGTTTTCTTTGTAAGGTGAGGTGATTGTGACACCCTCACTTTAGTCCCACATGGACTAGTGTGAAAAAATGCTACTGGTTTAAATAGAAAAAAGTCTAAGGCTCAAAAACAACTAGTGCTAGTATTTTGGCTGTGAACTTTAGCCAACATCAAGTTGCTCTCAGTGGGTCCCATGGCTTGCACGCACCAACGGGCCCGTGGGCCCGGGACGTGACATTATGTGTGTTGGCATAGGCATGGGCATGTATGTCCATGAATGCAAGACAACTGCAATTATTCAACAAATGCTTTTTAATTACCTGTACCCTCTTGTACCCGATTGTGCAGCAAGTTGTGCAAAGAAAAAACCTGCTTTGCCTTCAGCAATGGCTGCTCAGGATAGGATAGCTGAATGCCAAACCTGATGTTATTATGGGATGAAATATTAGAGAATTACATACAGCAGCATATTTCTAATAAAAAACAAAATAAATCAAGCATCCCAATACGGAAAAGGAACCTAAAAGTTAATAAAGAGAAGATTCAAGGCAAAAACAATTTTCTTATAATGAAAATGACACAAACTCTCTAAGGAGTGTTTCTATGAACTCATAGAAAAGAAAGTAATACACCTGCACTATACATGTTTCTTCAAGCAAATTTCAATTCCACATGTTACCACCAATGACACAATAATTTAAATATCTAAACAAGGTGGTGTCCAACTTCTTCCAAACATGAAGAGGTTTAAGCTTTGCCCAAAGTATTAAGTTTGCTTGACATACATTACTTACTCACCAGCCATCAGTGTTTTAATCCAAGTTAAAAGGCTCACGTGTTCAATTCTTTGCATTACCAGAAGTGCCTAGCCAAACCTCAAATGGAAAAGTGGAACCGAAGTTACCATGACACCTCGTATGGGATCCCATATCCATGTCCAACATGTGTCCGATACAGACAGTCAGACACTCAAATACGCATGTATTTATTTTAGATGTGTACTCAGTTCTATAATATGTTTTGGTTTAAACGCTTGGCATACATTTTTTGGACCTATATCTTACACTTCACATCCACTACTTGCAACTCGCTGGACATGGATTATGTTCACTTCATCCTATACTCGGTTCAAATGTATGATTTTAAATGGCTGTTTAGGTATGTAAGTCAAACATGAGTTGTGTCCCTGTATCCTACCTATTATAAATTAGCCGTGTCTCAGGTCCGCATCAGTGTCCGCACCTGTACATGTGCAACCTAGGGGGGAGCATTGAAGTGAGATCAGCACCATATCAGATCTCTTAGTGCCATAGAGGAAAGAAGACCATTTGAAATGACTTTTAAGTCATGCTTATGATGGCGAGTTCACTGATGCACGAAATTACTTGAAAAGACAGGTTTCCAATAGATTGTCTCATCACGATAGCAAATGTGGTAAATGACCGATTCCGTCTTTGCCTCAATTTCTCACCATGTATCACATACTCTCTTCAAACATAGATATGTCTATTTAACATAACCAGAAATATTCTAGCTCTTCACCTTTTGCTGGGTGTTCTATAAGCTCGGTCATAAATCTTACCAACGGAATTGCTTTAGTTTATATAATTATTAAATGACAAAACCAAGTATATTAAGAATGACTCGGGACAGTTTTCCCTCATATCTCCCAATACCAAGGTACACAAGTCCCGACAGATAAAGCCAGAAAAAAGGACTAATAATGCGTACTTCAAGAAATTAAGGTGTGTAATCCAAAGAAAGGTGATCAAATCGAACACCCTTTTAAGCTTGGGGCATAGCATTTTCAGAGGAACAAGCATTCACCAAACAAGTTAGGGCATACATATTGTAACTAAACTACACATCTATATGGCATTAATTTACACATGCAAAACAAGAACGTAATAAAGTAAGTTTGTATCAACTTTTGTCTGATATTAGAAAAAATTATTTTATTCACTTACTTGTCCATGTAGTGTTCTGCATAGCTTGTAGAATTCCTGTGTTTGCTGAGAGCATTTTTCTCATGGAGAATTCCATAGATAAAATAGAATAGTTTATTATGTTGAGTGAACACCACACTGTCGAATACATCATTCTCAGCAAACGTGCCATTATAAAGTTTTAAACTGTTGCTAACATCACAAAGATCTCTTGCATGAGAAACAGTTGAATGGCTAAAAACCGGTGATGATAAGCAGCGTTTTACAGTTTCCCAATCAACAACCATATTTTCCTCACATTTTTTCTTTTTGACTGGAAGTAGCAGGTAAAACGTCGACGAAGGCGGACTAATTGCAGCATTCTCACCTAAAGAAACAAAGTCATGGTAAAAGTCAGATCTATCGAGGATGACCTTTAGAAACATTTCCTGAAAACTCTCTGCCAGTAAAACCTGAAAAAAAACATATAATCATGTTGGAATAACTTTAAGTGGAATAAATAGATCAATAGAATAGCAGCTTATGATATAGTTAAGGGTTATTTTCACCTCTTCTCTGTCAAGTGTGATCTTCCCCATACTTACAAACCCTGTCTTAACAATCCTGCCATGAGCAAGATGTAAATCAACTTCCATAGTCTCAGCTTCATCCGGAATAGGAACTTTAACAAAAAGACCAAATTTTCGATAGTTTCTATCATCTGGTATGGGGACACACTTTATATAATAAAAATAAAAATCGACATCATCTGTAGTGGACCATGGCATTCTAAGAACAGCAGGGACTAGCATCTCATGAAGTTCTTCTCTCAGACATTCATCTGGAAAAGTAAGTATTTAGATCAAAGGGTCACAAAATTCTAAGACTAACTTTGCACCACGAAATTAATAATGATTTCTAATGAGAAAAGTACCATCGCTGTTTTGACTCTCTGAGCAATTTGTAGCTAGTATTTTCCTCTTTCCATCATCCAGACCAGGCAGAAGATAATTGGTCAAAGCACCCTTTTTATGCAGCTCGATACATGCTTTCAAACAAGCTGCTCTCTTAGCTTCATCTTTTGAGGAGCAGGGCAAACTATCCACCTGACGGACAGGAGCATTTGAGGGAAGAATTACTCGGCAGATTGTTCCATGTATATCATCTATGAAAAAGAACTTTGGCAAAGGATCAAAATATCTGCAGAAAACATGCAAGTTAAAAGTAAAACTAAAAGAAATCCAATCAACTTTTGGTATGAGTCTGAAATAATAATAATAAATTTTAAATAATGATGTCATACATATCTCGAGGAAGTTTGTCACAGTATCTATAAAGAAGCGAAATGCTGCAACCAGTGCTGATAGAAGCACCAGTGCTGTCAACTTTATAAATTGTCTCCTCCAAATTATTAAAGGTCTCACCGGATGTTCTGGCGATGACTTCTTTATTCATGAAATTTTCTCCAGACATAAAATCATGCAGTAACTGCTCATCACGCAGGTTGCCTCTGAGATATTGATATCAAAAGTAAAAATAAAAATATAATAAAAATAAAACAAAGAACACTATAAATATAAATAAACAGAATAGATGCTTAAGAATGAAGAGAGATTTGAATAATGAAGTACCTTTCGACAAGAAAAACAAATTCAGATTTCTGCATGCGAGCACGACCTCTTGACTGTATAAAACTAGCCACTGTTTCTGGCAGATCAAACCGCACTACAAGGCAGCAAGTCTGAATATCAAGACCTTCTTCAGCTACATTGGTAGCAACCAAAAGATTCACCTAGCAATCCAACAAATGGAACAATAAGCTATGCACAGCATCTGTAAGAAAGGTGACATAAAGCTCTTGCTGAAAACAACCTACTAATAAGATCTAAATATGATTTCCAAAGTCATAAATTAGGCTAAACTATCAAAAAGTACCATGAACTGTCCTCTTGTTTAGGAAACTCTTGATATTGTTTTAAAACACTGTTCAAATGCTGCAATCGAGAATGCATCCATATTTACTTCAACAGTAAAATGAATTAGCTGGCTATCTACAAGCATACAAATTATTTCATGAAAACTTAGTAGTTCCATGTTAATAATCTGTATCGATAACTCTTTAAAAATGTACTGGATAGCATGCTTATATTAATAACGGAATTTCAAAGCAATTTACAAGAAAATACCTCTCCAGAACGAAACTTTTCAACTATTGTATTAACCTTGCTGCGTGACATATTCCTCAATCCAGAATGAAAACCCACAAGAAATTCACATTTCCAATAATCTAGCACTTTTAAGCTCCCAAGAATGTGCGCTAATGTTCTCGCAACAATTATTCGCTTCACAAAGATTATACACTTCATGTTCTCTTTCAACCTGAAGTAAAGAATTGTTAGATGTCTATTATTAACAGATATCATATCTCTATAACTGCATACAATTGAACTTCCCAAAAACATTGAGAGAGGTAAGAATATTGACCGAGGCTTTCCTGACTAATAAGTTTTGACTGCTAAACCCACATGTTTTAACAAAGAAAGTATGGTTTTTATTTTATCTCTTTCACATGGTATTGTACTCATACAATTACATTCATCATTATCGTTCTTACAGTGTTCAATTAGTGTGCATTCATGCATGCAAGTGTATATAGTTCATGAAACAGAAAAATTGGAGAATCTTTTTTTTTTCTTTTTTTTTATAAACAAAACTTGAACAAGTTACCAAGCTAGTCGTTCTGTGAGTATAGAATAGATTCACAAGCAATCAACAGTGATGATGACCAACCTGGAGCTAGAAAGGATCCCAATCAGAGCTGACAATTTTTTTAAGAAAAATGGTTCTTCTAATGTCTCCGGAACAAACGAATCTGAACCCATATTGTCTACAAAATAAGCAAAGATATTCTTGTTAGATGTGCTAAAACTCAAACGAAATAAAGGAAGCTGAAGACCTACATAATTATTACATACTAAATATGTTACTTTAGAAGTTAACAGTGAAAAGCTCACTTGTAGTCATTGACTTGGATGAACATGGTTTGATGAATCAAATATGTGAATTTGGAGATGCATTTATCTGAACCACTGAATTATCAAGTGAATCCAACAAATGAATTCAATTAAAGATGTCAAACTGAGTAGCAGAGTGATTATGCTCTATGGCTTTTTGTTCAGGATGTTGCACCTGGGTATATGCCTAGGTGATGCCTTGTAATTGTTGTTTTGATCAATAAAAATCTTTTCTTACCTTTCCCAAAAAAAAGTCAAGCTGTGTCTGCTTTTTAATTCACATTACTATCATGGTCACTTTCACATCTCTAACAGGTCAGGCATGGAACATTTCTCATAACCGAGGGGGCTGCATGAAAGGTTGAATTGGTTTTGCGATAGTGAGGCCAATACTTTACAGGTTTTGGCTAATTTCCTAAATGACTAAGCTAGAGAGTCATTGGGTAGAACCTTAATGGCCAACTGGTAGATAGGTAAATCTCCCCTTCTACGCCAACTGGTAGATAGGTAAATCTCCCCTCTACTCATGTAGTTTAAGCATAATCAGCCAAGAAGGCATCTTCAAATTCCTAGAGATCAAGAGTCTAGATGAAGTAAGATGATAATCTTGGAGTCTGTTTGGCGGCTTGTAGTTGGAGAAGCAGGTGCACTCCCCCCTACATGCTGCTCTAACTGCAGAAGTTGAAGATGCAACCTGATGTTTGGATAGTATGTTTTTCCAAATAAATTATCATACCACTAAACATGGTTTAACAATTATAGTAGGTTATCTATATTTTACTGCTATAATTGACTGTAGACACATTCCAAGTTGTAGTGACGAGGATCATTTTGAATGTAACTGTGACTACATAATTCGAACTCTACAATATAATTGCAAGAGATACATCAACTAACAAGTGTTTCCGTTTTGCAGTATAGTTGGAGCAATATCTGCCTCCTCCCCACATGGAACCACCACAAGACAAAAGTTTAAGAAAAATCACATCCCAGCTAGTCTTGTAAGTATCTGAACGTTATTTCTTTCTTTGGACGCTCCAAAGCACTTGTAATTTAAAATGGTAGATTGTCCAAAAACTCAAATTTCAGTCAATATCAAAAGGAAAAATTTTGAAAACCAACCCATTTACAAAAAAATCGCAAAAAACGGCCTATTCTAAAAATAATTGTCAAAACCGACCTAGTTTCAGCCGTCAGGCTGAAACTCGGTCGATTTTGACAAAAAAACTATAAAACTTCACGGGACATTAAGTAATGGGCGTGATTAATTTTTCGATGTTGTATTTGTTTGTTGCTCAAAATCTGATTTTGATCGGCGATGCTTCTCTTTTTGGGGTTTCTGCATCATGGGACTTTAACAAATTTCACGGGACTTGAAGTCCCGTGAAATTGTTGGCGACTTTAATCTATTAATATTAGACGTTATTAAACTTCACGGGACTTCAAGTCCCGTGAAGTTTCATAGTTTTTTTGGTCAAAACCGACCCAACTTCAGCCCGACCGCTGAAACTAGGTCGGTTTTGGCAATTATTTTAAGAATAATTCTTTTTTTTTTCGCAAAGTTTTTGGTAAATGGGATGGTTTTCAAAATTTGTCCATATCAAAAACACCACACTTTGTTATCATGAATTCATGTTACGCTCGCCTGGCATAATCATTAAATGTAATAATCATTAAATGGGTGCATTTTTTGTAGACTCAAGGCTGACCTTATATTACAGCTCTTTGTTGAATCCTAATTTGGTTCATAGTAAGATTCCAGAAAGTTCCCCTTTTAATTCATCATTATTTCGTGCCCTTCAAGTCATTTTTAGCATGATTCTAGTTTTTCGTAGTCCACAACATCAGTCTTCCAAGAGTTCGTTCATATGACCTTCACATCCACATGCCACCTATTGACACCCATCACTATTAGTCTATCAAAGTATGGTCAATTGGTCATTCTCATTCGTAATTGAGAAGATGGAATGAGCCAAAAGAATAACTAAGAATCAAACAATAATTGAAAAAGTCTTAGCTCTCTTTAAAAAAATGAATCATGCTTAAGGAGATCCAGTTTACATAATCTTACTCAGTCCTCCCACAGGCAGACACATCACATGATGCCTGTCTGTGCCTAGATGAGGCTTATAGCCTAATTTCTATTTTCTATTGGGCTAAGGGAACAATTGTTCGACCAGCCAGACCCATGTTACCAAGGTAACATCTTGAAAGGTACTACCAGTGCTCAGTTATTGTTGTGGTTCATGCTTTTGATTCTCAAGCTTAAATGGTGTATTAATCAGGTTATTAGCTACTGAGAAATGCATGAACATTGTCATCAATGCATCCAGTTAGATCAGGGTCTACGCTAACTGCATCTACCTTGACCTCTCTTAATATCAATCCCATTTGGCTCCTAGAAACCTGTGTTTCCTTTATTGAATGAGGTTCCTTCTGCATAAGAAGCCTCGTGATGCAGGATAAATTCACATGAAGATGGGTAAAATTCATGAGGCTGAGATCCATTCCCAAATTTTATTTGCCCTACAAGGAGTCAGTCTCATCAAACAAATATGATTCAATTATTATAAGATTACTTACAATCTTCAGTCAATTATTATAAGATTACTTAAAATCTTCAGTCATTAATAGATATAGCTTTAAATTTTAGCTAGAGTTTTGTTAGCTTTTCTTCTTAAATTTCAAATCTTTTCGGTAAAGGATGATATCTTTTAGCTTTAATAATAAACCTTCTCCATAAGCCTCAGATAAAGACAAATCTTCTATTACCAAATTTTTAGATTAGCTTTAGGAGTTAGTTTAGTTTAACCCATAAGAAAGTACGATCTTTGCCTAGTAAGTAAAAATGGTGACTGGTGTATTGGTATAAGGAAGAGTTTTTGCTCTTCTCTTCTCTATGAATGAGATCTTCATTTTCTATTTTGATGGCATGAGGTCATTCTTGTTCATAAGCCAAATAGGGTGTGAAGCCCTTATTTCCTAAACCTTCTTTTCCTCTTCTTTCTTTCTCCGCTTTTGCCTGTGCATCTCTAATCTCCATTACTTGGTACCATTTCAAAGAGATGCACCACCACCCCTACAGCCAGATTTTACACTCCCAGGTTTTTCAGATCTGCAGAAATATTACAATACTTCCAATTGCTACAGTACATGCGACTACAAGTCTACAACAATACCCACAACTATTATAGAGACTTTCGATTTCCGTCTTATTCTCAATCCTCTTATCTGCATTCCTTATTTGTCATATTCATATTATTATGATCCCTCATACTGTTACCACAGCAAAGTGTTATGTATCATTGTCTTTTTTTTAAAAAGAAATTGTCAGTCCTTAGAAGTTGGATGATATACCTGGTTTCTAGAGATTTAATGATCCATATATAGATAATAATATTGAATGGAAGATTTGCCTGATTCTATCCCTCATATATAATGTGTAGTTAAAAAGAGGAGTTGGATTTAGAAAATCATTACAGTACAGACAAATGGACATGTAACCCTTGTCGGCCTACGATCTAATGTACATCAAGGAGACACTATGATCTCTGTCTTCAGCTGATACCTACACTCCATGGAGATGCCGTTTATTTTCCATCATAGCAAGAGACTTAACTCTAGCCAACATTAATACTAAAGTTTGGCACATATTTCAAGCTAGCACTAGGACCAAAGCCAAAGGAAAAAGATAGTTCAAAGAATAAAACCAAAGCATGAGCACAAGGCAAAGCCTGAGACAACACCACAAGCTCAGCCAAGGTCATATTCCAACCCAAAGTTTTAAAACAAGGTACAATTACAGTTGACCATCGAGAAGAATCTTGCAATCAATCAATTTAATTGATATAATCTTTAACTTTCAAAGATCAAAACTTTGGCGGCATCATCCTCACACAAATTTTGGTGCTAATGACTTCCTTTTCGCTTGTGTAACATCACCTCCATAGTATTCTGTAGAGTTTATTTTCTTTCATTTAAAAACTTGAGGCGAGTTCACACCAAAAAAGGTATATTTGAAGCAGAGAAAATTCACATAAAGATGGAGTAACTCAATGGTAAAAGCATCTCCAATATTTATTTAAAATCACATGCATTACATGGAATCACCTAATAAAAATGATTTAATTATTGCAGGGTATAGATTGAGTTACAATACATGGTTACTGGTGGTAGATTTTATTTTTCAAATATTTAGTGATTATTTGTTATCTTTTAGTTTTATAATTCAACTCTTTTTGATGAGGGATGTTATTTTTTAGTTTGAACAATATTTTTCCCAAGTCTAATATAGGTGATGAATCTTTTATTTCCTAGTTCTCACATTAGATTTCTTTAGGCCTTATTTTAGCTTTACTAATAAAAAATCAAGAAAGACAGAAGCTTATTCGCCAAAACATCTATCTGAAAGACGCTAGAAACTTCAACACCCAATTTGGACTCTGCATGGCATTGTTCTTACATAGCTCCATTGCACGACTGGGTAATACAGATTTCTCTCAATTTATTAATTAATATATGACATGCTTCAGTTTAATAAAAGTGTTAGAGATCTGTACAAAATACATAATATTAGGCACTTTGTTTTGTGTATCATTTGCCTATAGGAAATATCTGTGTTTATGGTGTGTGCAACATTGCAAACGTAAAAACAGGTTGTTTCTAGTTTAAAAATAGCATGGCAACCATACCGTCTAATATCTTGCAGCATAAAACCGAGCGAGCATTATTCAAATATTGATTTACTAGGTAAGTGTTGCTGTCATCATCGTTTTGCTTTGTATCTGGAATGTCCAATCCATCAGAAGTCAAAAGAATTTGAACAGCCTTCAAGGAAATAACAGTGTATTAGTCGAAAATGGAAGAAAGAAAGTTAAAATCAATACACTTCTACTGTATTAGCACAGAAAAAATGAAAAATAGAAAATTTCGTTCCATCTTTAAAGAAAGTAATAGAAAAAGAATTGCTACTATTATAATTATAGGAACAATCCATCAGAAGTCAAAAGAATTTGTACAGCCTTATAGCAGACAACAGTCTATATTAGTCAAAAATGGAAGAAAGAAAGTTAAAATCGATGGCCTACTGTATTAGCACCGAAAAAAATGAAAAATAGCAAACTTTGTTCATTATTAGAGAAAGTAATAGAAAAAGAATTGCTAATATTATAATTATAGGAACCATATAAAGACACAAGATAAATTAGACTGTTTGACAATTCTTTAGCACAATTATGTAACTGAGTTTTCTACAGCTAAGCATATTGGATAATTAGTTACAATACTTGATTTTTTAATGCTTGGATCATTAATCCTTAGTTAAAGGAGGTTAACCTCTGTGAATAGAGTATATGTGTGCATGTATATACAAGCTCAGCCCAGTTAGGACTGAACGAATTTTTATCGATATCTGAACATGAGTCGTTGGGCATAGAAGATCCGTAACTATGATCAAATAACAGAAGTAAAGCTCGAAAGGACTCATAATGCAAGGTCATGCATGATGAGGGACTTGTCTTAAAATTCAAACTTGTGGGTATTAGCGGATTTTTGTTAGGAACTTATATCTTACCACCCGCCCGCCCCTCGCAACACAAACACACACACACCCCACCCACCCAAAAAAAATCATAGAAGAACGAACCTGACTCAGCACATGCCTCCTGAATCGCCTCACTATGACCACTACTTTGATTGCTACAGAACCCTTATTTATCACCATTAGCAACCAGATATTCCTGAATGACTACCAGAAAAAAGGCAGATACTATCTCTCTTTCTTCTCTTATTGCTTTCTTAGGTTTCCCTTTCGGTTTATCGGACATTACTAATCTGGGTGCACTTTGTTTTTCTTCTTTTTCAACTAAATGCTGCCAATAGCATTTGCCTTCTTGCATTCTAGTTCACTTGGGCCAAAACACATTGTAACTATTCCTCATCAAGAATTGAGGGTTTAAGCTGAAGTAGATAGTTGTTTTCTCATGTTCTGGATCTTTCGCCATAATCTTGTAACCACATATTTTGGATTAGCTAAAAGTGTACAATATCAACTGATATTAAAATCCTTCTCCATAGTTTTGCCCACTTAGCATACATTAGCTTACTGATAAGATGAACATCCTACATACATTCTTTCTTTAGCTCTAATCCAGTGAATTTTGGTCAATTTTGTTTCACTAAGTATAAATTATATTGTTGGGCCTTCTAGATTATTTCAAAATATTCATTGAGAATAAAATCTTCAATAACAACTAAAAGACATACAAATTAATATTATTATTTTTTATGATAGATAATAATACATAACAAGGCTCACAATATGAGGGGGGTTTTTTAGAGTAAAGGTGAGAAACACCACCCCTCCTTTTATGCTTTTCAAGGGCAGAAAGATTCTTTGCTTGACCCTCAAGTATTCATCGAGCACATATACATAAAAATTAATAATTTATATAAATATCCGTTACGAAATTTTCTTACTTTGGTTAGTGTGAAACAAGCAGAATTGGCCCGCACGTTACTGCAGCATTAATGTGAAAAATACCAAAAATAATAGTTTAAATACTAAAATATACTGTATACATGACCACTTAAACAAATACATAGTAAGTTACATGGAATTTTACAATACATACCAAATTATTGAAATACAAATTGAGTTTACGATTAATTGGTAGAGTATTTTGGATCTAAGAGTGATTTTGGAAGTTGGCAGGTTTAAGAATAAATGGTTGTGAAACTTTGGGTCGATATGCAAAACACCTTGTTTTGAAAGTGGCTGAGTTTAAAAATAAGTCGAGGTAAAAAAAATTTGGTTTATACTTAAAAAAACAATTTATAGTTCGTGGCACCATGATGTTAATAAAAAAACACAAAACATTAATGATTTTTTAGGTATTTAGAAATTAGTCCCTCAATTCTTCAATAATTGCTCATTAGTCCCTCAAATCCTAAATAATCATGCAATTTGGTCCCTCAAGGACCAAAATACCCACGGTTATGTTTTCCATCCCATAACCCATCTTGTTGAAAAAAAGGTTATTTGCACTTTGGTAACTTGAAGTTTACGCGTTTCTAATTTTAGTATCCAAAAAAAAATTAACACTTTGATACCTTAAAGCAACACTACTTTTAACTTTGTTACCTTAAAGTTTTTCTCTAACACTTTGTTATGACATGTTTTTGACATTTTTTTAACTTTGATATCCTAAAGTTTGGTTTTCGACATTTTTCAACTTTGATAACCCAAAGTTCTGTTTTTATACTTTGATACTGCAAACTTGGGGTATCAAAGTTAAAAAATGTGTAAACTTTGAGGTGTCAAAGTTTTAAAATGTGGAAACTTTGGAGTATGAAAGTCAGAAAAGGTATAAATTTGGGGGTATCAAAGCGTCAAAAAAATTTTGGGTATCAGAGTTAAAAAGTTATAAACTTTGGGGTATCAAAGGGTATAAAAACCGGGATAGCTGAGTTTTTTTAAAAAAAAGGTGTATATTTTACAAGGTTTTTGCTAACCATTGCCCTTAGGGCAATGGATACGGAGGAGAGAGATAAAAGAGGCGTGTGAATGAAAAGAGTGAATGAGTGAGAAACATACTATCACAATACCCTTTAAGATGTGAGGGACTAACGAGCAATTTCGAATATTTGAGGGATTAATGTGATTATTATTGATATTTGAGGGCCAAACTGTAGTTCTGAAAAATAAAATGCGGCAAAGGAGGGTGGCGAACGACTCGAACCCATGACCAATGCAATGAAGACCAAACACTCTAACCAAATGTGCTACTTGAGATTTAGGACGATTTAGAAAAAGAAAGGAGTATAAAAATATACTTAGTGTAGCCATGACAAGACACTAACTAGAGTGGTAAACCCAATTGTTTTAGTGTGTGTATTAAATATATTTGGTTTTTGTATATGCTCGGCAAATAACCCTCATATTACTTTCAACCCATACTGAATCCTTTAAATAATATTTGTCCACAAGAAAAATTATTTGATCAGCGTATAACAATAATACAGGTATCAGCGGCAATAGTAGGAAAATTTTCAAAATGATATCATGTTATGACAAAATCAAAAAATTGAGATTCATAATATCTCAACAAAATAAAAGAGAATAATATGTACTATAGACAAGTAGTAACAATATCGTTGTTGTTTTTTTCCCACTCTATTATGTGCAATATTTTGGCAAGATGTGTATTCATTCATGAAAAATTAATCCTATATATAGGTATTTGTGCTTTACATATGCAGGTTAAGTCTTGTGCTCTTAACCAGAAGGGAAATTGAACTGTTGACACATTCCATTGCGGTAGGATGATGTACCTTAAAATAGACCTGTGATACATAAGAATATGGCATGGATCATGGAGGAAAGAAAAATATATGAAATGACAGAAGATGCTATCATAAAATTGTAGTGAATAGTTGTAATGAAAAGCAAAAGATTACTGATATAAAAGTGTTGCTCAAGTTCTCAAAATTGGCTTGAGAACGAATTGTACAATTGGCTTAATATAACAGACATTGCACTCACTTGTATCGCTGCATAAAGACCAAGATTTTCTAGACAAAAAACAACTTTTTCATGTATCTTCAAAACCGACTTCATCAACTTCTGACGATCTTTCAAATCAGAAATATTTTCTCGTAGCATGCACGTGCACTGTTCATATAAGAAAATGATATAAGCAAAACACAAGGTGGAACAGAATGTTAATCTTGCATAACTTACAATCAGAAGTTTTACCTTGTTTCTTATCTGGTCAAGTTCTCTTTGATAAACCATTATCAAGCTTGATTCATTATGTTCCACAGGATCATAGAAGTAGACTTTTATTTCCGGAGAAGCAACAAAACTTTCAAGTTCTAGATTGTCATCAATTGAACACATCTGTGCAATCAAAGTAGAGAAAAAGAAACAACTAACATCATATTGATATCACCTTTACCCAGAATATATTTCAAGTTATAGATTTTATTTAAACACACCTTTGCATCAAGTAAATTCTCAAGACTGTTGATGCATTTGGTATAGTTTGTTTGAGTAGATCCACCTAAAATTAATATGCATGCGTCAAAATACATGCAAAGATAACAGAAAGTCGATCAATATCAAAAGGCAACTATAACAATAATGCACGCGAAAAAAAGAAGAAACAAATATAATCTTCATTCAGGAAAACAAAAATAGATATGTCCACTATTAGTGACAAGAGGAAATAAAACATGTGTTCTTAAAATATTTTCCAGAAGATTTCTCAAGAAATAGGAAGGATAGTTTGTAAAGTGAACTAATCAGCAAGCAAGAATGGTTTCCTTAAACGACAAAGTCGTCGATGAATCAGATAAAACAAGTACTAAGCTTTTCTCACGAAGGTAATAACAAAATGTATGATATGGACAAAGAGACTATCAATATTACGAGAATGCATCCCATTTAGTAAAAATAAATCCAAAACTGAATAGAAGGTACTATAAAAGAACGAAGGAAAGAGTTGAAGTTTAAGAAGTTGTCTAACCTTTCCCAATGATTGGAGAAGCAGTCATGCCAAATATACGAGGACTTCTTAGGGCATCCATTTTGTAAAATTCCTAGATATCAACAAGGAAACATTTTCACCATCAATAATATCAAATGCCTGCCTAATCTTGTCTATAAAGTTTGAAGCATGAATACCTTCATAATCTGAGCATAAGGATGCCTCTTTTGCGCTTGTGCATGATGGCATTCATCAAATATCAAAAGTGCAATTAGTTCCATCCTGATGAAACAATGTCTTAAATTGTGTAGAAGTATTTGAGGGGTCATAACAAGAACCTGCAGAAAAATGAAAGTGAAAACATAATCCGAACTTTGAGATGAGAAAGCAATGCTCATGCAAAAGTAGAGAGAGAAATAGCTTAGATGGAAAGTAAGTTATTTATATAGTTATCTATGGTGCAGTTCCACTTATGCAAATGGCAAAGCAACTAATGTGGTACAGGTGCAACTGGATCATGTTCCAGACCAAAACCCCAAGAAGATAAATGGCATTGCATAATGTGTATACTAGGAACCTGAGAAAAAGAAACTGTTCGTATGATGCATTGATTATGAAACAGATAAGGAAATAATATACAGTCGACATGAATAGGAAAAAAATGAATAGCAGAAGAATAAAAAAGGTAACTGACCTCTATTTGTTCAATCTCCTTGTTCCATTCATGATGATCCTTCAAATGTTTACCATTGCCAAAATAGCTTTGGACTTTGAAATCAGTGCAGTTCTCTATGACCATTGCTTGCTGGAAAAAATGTTCAGATATGAGCTTTTCCAATTGATAACTTACATCTGGAGATGGAAATGTTGTGACACTAGTAAAACATGATTAAAAGAAAAGAAATCTTTTCACCATAGACATATAGAAGAAATTTCACTTCGAGCGCCTTATAAAGTTATTTTACTTAAATGAGATTCTAATGCCAGCATATATTGGAAAATTGCCTGAAGAATCATTCTACAGATGTTTTCATCTATCTGATCCTATCTTTGTTTGCACACATGCTTATTGTCGGTTAACTTTTTCAGCAGCCTACTATCATATTTGTCTTCATGAAAGACACGCAGCTTATGGAAAGTGGAAAAATCATGATACCCTAGCATGTCCAATTCCTAATACTGAGTACCACATAAAGACTAATGTTGGGGGCAGAGTCACGCCCACCGCCGCGGAAGCGATATCACCTGAGAGAGAGCTCTGGCTATTGTTGTCACAAAAACACAAGTCAAACTCTATATTCTTGTTTCTCAAAGGAAACGAGAATAGATAGTGAAATTCTTATTTCTCAAAGGAAACAAGAATCGAAAGTGATATATTTCATCTAAGTGAAATATACACTCTTCCTCTCATCATCTCTAAGACCGAATATTGAGGGAACCTACAAGCTATGACAACTCATAGATAAGACAAATACAAACACGAGATTTACGTGGTTCGGCTAACTAGCCTACGTCCATGGGAGGGGGTTTTCACTATGAGGAGAGTACCAAACTTATTACAAGTTCTATGTCAACTCTCTCTTTTCTCTCAAAAGAACTCCAATACAAAACCCACAATTGATTTTTTCCCCACACCCTTCCTCTTCTCCCAACCTCTCTATTTATGGGCAGCAAAGGGGGCAAGACCGAAGATTTGGCGGGCTGAACGAGCGCGCGCGGGAGAAATTCGTGGCGGGAAAAGGAGTTCGCGCGCGCGGGGGCAGAACACGAGCACGAAACCCAAGCGGGTTTCGTGCGGGCGCGGCGCTGTCAGGCGGCGCGCG